CTTCCTTCCTTCCTTCCTTCCTTCCTTCCTTCCTTCCTTCCTTCCTTTATTTTAAGCAGCTTAACTTTTGCAATTGAGTTTAGCTTATTTTCAAAAGTGATTGCTTTCATGATCTCATATAGTCTGTACTACACAAAGACCCCCAAATCAGCCTGATTCAGGCTGCCTCAGTCTCATCTTACAATCAATCCCTTTGAGCTATCTAATGGAGAAATAATTAAGAGTTGTTTAATTATGGGGTAGTCCTCTGAGAGGCAGGAGGATTAATTTCTTTCAAAGGAAAAACATACCTATTTTTACGCTTTACGTGAAGATGGGATGCTCACGTCCCTGATTGTTTGATGAGGCCACACCAGGTTGAGAGCTGTATTTGTGGGTTTGATTGATTTTTCTGTGCTATCCAGTTCAGCATTAGAATGTCAGACATTTACTCTTCCCTTGATGGACACCCTGACCTTGAACTGAGAAAGGTACTTTTTTTTTCCTCTACAGTTTTCTTGAAACCCAAACCTTCCCAAGAGTTTAGGATCAAATCATCAGCCATCCATTTTACCTTTTTTTTTTTTTTTTTTTTTTTTTTTAATATTCCATGAAGCTGTTGGGTTTCCTGAAAGACTGATTGGACCTGGCTTTTCTGCTCTCAGAATGCACCCCCTGATCCATCATGCCATCAGAAGTAGTGCTTTGTCTAAGTAGATCTTACAGACAAGGAACGTCGATTATTTTCTTTCTGTGGGAAGGCTGTCTGCCTTCTCTTCTCTACATCCGTTGCCCCACCCCCTCACCCACCCTGTGCTCACCCTGCATCAAAACGCTGCCAACACATTTGCACCCAGCAGTAACATGGGCTTCCGAGGCATTGTAGGATTCAAAATGCATGATGCCATGGCTGAATCAATAATTTCCATCCTCTACTACGAATGAAAATTTAATGTGCAAACCTGGGGATTTCAGCCCTTTCATTAAAGCAGTTTATTTGCCATACTAAAAATTAAGTTTGAGTGATAGGTTCTTTTATTAACTTTTCTTCCCTTTCCTAAAGGGACACAATGTTTAAGGTAAAAATCATATTAAAGGGGAGGAAAAAAGCAAACCCTTTTCATGTGCTGTTAATAGTCTCATCATTTATTAATTTTTTAAAATTGCTTTTCTGCCTTTCAGGCCACTGTTTACTTCTGCTTCAGTCTGCTTTGATAAGTGACATGAGATTTATCTCTTTGCTCTGACTCCCAAGAAGGAATAGATAACTTTCATATCTGGAAAAAACAAATATCTTCCTGGAAGCATGCTTTACAGAGATCTGCCCAGAACTATCTAGTACATGTTTGCAAGATATGGTCAAGTTTGTCCCTCCTTCTCACATTTCTGGAACATTTTTGAAGTGCTTTGTGCAAAACACAATACTTTTTAAAAACTTTTTGTTTAAGTTTATTTATTTATTTTGAGAGAGAGAGAGCAGGGGAGAGGCAGAAAGAGAAGGAGAGAAAGAACCCCAAGCGGGCTCTGCTGTGTCAGCACAGAGCCTGATGCAGGGCTCGAACTCACAAACTGTGAGATCGTAACCTGCGCCAAAACCAAGAGTCAGATGCTTAACTGACTGAGCCACCCAGGTGCCCCAAAACACCCTATTTCAAATGTAATGTACAACATAGCTGCAGGAAAACCAAGAGTTAATTGTTGTTGTTATATTTTAATTCCTAGGTTTTAATGATTAACTGCTAGATTCAGGGATAGTTCTAGAAAGCCCTAAGGGAAGGGTGGAGACTATAGTGAGGTGGAGAGCAATAAAAATGGCAGGTACTCATCAGCTACTACAGATTGTTTAAGCCCAGATTGTTGCCAGGTCTTCCAATTATTCAATAAAAACTGAAATCTAGATATTTTTAATGCCAAATCTGTCAATTTCTAAAGGTTGGAAACCAACTTAAAATTTTTAAAGCATAGGTAGTCAGGTCAAACAAAACTTAATAGTTGACCTGTGGGCAAGCAGTGTGTGGCCTCTGAAGTCAAATTTAAGTACAAAAACACTGTTTTGCTTATTGGACGTGAATGATTCATTCACCTCCTAGTGGAAGGTGCCCCCAAATGATGGTTCCCTGTTAACAACTATTCATTGTCGCTTTAGTAAGGTGGATGTAATGTAACTATGTGCCAATATCAAAGGCATATAGAGGGCAAGGCCAGGCCTCTGTCCTCAAAGAGAATACAGTCTTGGCATAGACACAGCATCAAAGCAGAGAAAGAACGTGATTCATTAATTAAGCCCCTATGAGTAGTGTGGATGACTGCAGATAACGTGCCTATCTGGATCAAACAAATACATTTTTTGGAAACATGTGTTACAGTGATGTCCTAGGAACATCTAGTACATGTTTGCAGACGTGACTACAGAGGAATTATTCTTTGGATTATAACTTGTTTAGTGGGAGAAAGTGGCCAGGCTCAGAGATGAAATGACCTGTCCAATGGCACACAAGTGACCAGCAGCTGAGCTGAGCTAGCATCTGAAGGGCCTGTGAAGGACTCTGCCACAAGAGGAGATGCTTAATATGTGAGCATATGCTTGAAATAATAATAATTATTTATTATAATTATACTACTAATAATAGTAATGCTACCTTATATTGAATATTTACTGTGTACCAACAGTATTCTAACCCCTTTACATGCTTGAGAGGATTGAATTCTTGAAACATCCCTAGGGCTAGATGCTTTACACACATGAACTCTACTTCTTAAGATAGCCCTGTAAGAAGGTGCTATTCTCTCCTTTGTACAGTTGAGGAAACTGAGGCCCAAAGAGGGTAGGAGACTTACCCAGGACCACATGGTTGGTATGTGAGATTTGGAGTAAAGAAAGGTGTTTTAAAAATAACTCTAGGGGCGCCTGGGTGGCGCAGTCGGTTAAGCGTCCGACTTCAGCCAGGTCACGATCTCGCCGTCCGGGAGTTCGAGCCCCGCATCGGGCTCTGGGCTGATGGCTCAGAGCCTGGAGCCTGTTTCCGATTCTGTGTCTCCCTCTCTCTCTGCCCCTCCCCCGTTCATGCTCTGTCTCTGTCTGTCCCAAAAATAAATAAACGTTGAAAAAAAAATTTTTTTTTAAATAACTCTAGCAGTAGGCTGTAAGTATTGGAAGGTCACACTGTGTGTTTGCTCAGCAGCACGTGCATTCTATGAGATTGTTTGGGTCTGTATTTGGCTCTGCACACACAGATAATACTCCCTGGCATGGGAAGGAGATATAAAAAGCAAACAAATTGTGTGGTTCTTCCAGGTTCTTCATTAAACAGACTTGTGGTTTGGGACTTCTGCCATCAACCTGAGTACAGACCTAAGTTCAGGTCTTTTCTTCTTGAACCCCTGCTTTGCAGGCTCTGTGCTAGGTCCTGGGATTTAGGTGACCCAGAGATGGCAGTGCCCTAGACTTTCTCCCATCTACATGTGTTAGAGAGGCACAGAGCATGGACCGTGGGCTTACATGTCTAGCCTGCCAGACCAGCCTGGCACTCCACTTGGGAACGTGGGTCTTTTCTTAGGATTTCAACTCTGAACACAGTGGAGATGATTTGCCCCATTTAGAGTTTTGAGAGTGCTCTTTGTTGAGCTTTTTTCCTCACTTGTCTCCAACAGAGATCACGTTAGACTTTGGGATGTATTGGGTGAAATGACTGTGGGTTCTGGAAAATGATTCCCGGTACTCCTTTTGACTCCACAGTGGATGCCTGTCCCAGTCCTGGGCCCT